TAATATATTATACACACATATAAATAATTTATAGATGCTAAACAGATCATTTATTAATGTTTAACCATCATTTATAAACAGAACACAATATATAATGTATATAGATGTAGATATATGTAGATAGATAGATAGATAGATAGATAGATAGATAGATAGATAGATAGATAGATAGATAGATAGATAGATAGATAGATAGATAGATAGATAGATAGATAGATAGATAGATAGATAGAGCTGGACTCAGAGCGTGTTTGTGTGCTCAGAGGCATGAAGGTGATCGAGAACCGCGCCCTGAAAGACGAGGAGAAGATGGAGCTGCAGGAGATCCAGCTGAAAGAAGCAAAGCACATCGCAGAGGAGGCCGACCGCAAGTACGAGGAGGTGAGCTACTGTCTTTGTTTGGTTTTTGTCTGTTTTTGGAGCGGTTTTAAAGCTGTCTTTTTGGAGCTTTTATGTTTCTGTTTCTGCATTCAGACGCTTTTATCCAAAGCGACTCCCAAAGTGGACACAATTTGACAGATATCATCAATATGATGCTTTTTTAGTTTTAAAGCTGTTTTTTGAGGGCTTTTAAAGCTGTTTTTGAGGGCTTTTAAAGCTGTTTAGGGGGCTTTAAAAGCTGTTTTTAGGACGTTTAAAGCTGTTTTTTGAGGGCTTTTAAAGCTGTTTTATAGGACTTTTAAAGCTTTTTTGAGGACTTTTAAAGCTGTTTTTTGAGGGCTTTTTAAGCTGTTTTGAGGGCTTTTACAGCTTGGAGTTTTATGTTTCTGTTTCTGCATTTATACACTTTTCTCCAAAGTAAACACAATGTTCCAGCTCTCATCAGTCAGACAATAAGTTCTCTGGAGGAAAACCCCCAGTCAGAGTCAGAGGAGACAGGAGGAGATGGAGGGAAGAACAGAAAGAGGAGTAGAGGGTCCAGAGGTCTGGAGGAGTTAGGATAGGAGAAAGGTGGTTCCTCCATCTGAAAGAGGATTTTTTAAGGACTTTTAAAGCTGTTTTGTGTTTTTTAAAGCTGTTTTTTGAGGGCATTAAAGCTGTTTTGGGGGCTTTTAAAGCTGTTTTGAGGGCTTTTACAGCTGTTTTTTGAAGTTTTATGTTTCCGTTTCTGCATTTAGACACTTTTCTCAAAAGTAGACACACATTTCCAGCTCTCATCAGTCTGAGAATAACTTGTTTTGTGGCTTTTTAAGCTGTTTTTTGGAGCTTTAGAGCTGTTTTTTGAGGGCTTTAAAGCTGTTTTTTGAGGGCTTTAAAGCTGTTTTGTGGCTTTTTAAGCTGTTTTTCTGTAGCTTTATAGCTGTTTTTTTTAGGGCTTTTAGGCTGTTTTGTGCCTTTTAAACCCTTTTGGGCTTTAAAGCTGTTTTTGGAGCTTTTATGTTTCTGTTTCTGCATTTAGATGCTTTTCTCTAAAGCGACTCCCAAAGCAGACCCAATGTTCCAGCTCTCATCAGTCTGATAATCTGAATATGGGTTCAGACTCACCGGTCTGCTGCTTTTCCTCCAGGTGGCCCGTAAGCTGGTGATCGTGGAGGGAGAGCTGGAGCGAACAGAGGAGAGGGCAGAACTGGCCGAGGCGTGAGTTCCCCCCAAACCTCCCAATAATGACCCACACAATACGGACATTTACTCCTGAAGAAAACACTCTGTTCAAAGTTTTTACCAAAACACTTTCAAAACACATACTGAACCTGCCTCCTGTTTTGTTTTGTTTGTGTTGTTTTGTTGTTTATTTTGTGTTTTGTTTTGTTGTTTGTTTTGTTGATTTTATTTGGTTTTGTTTTTTGTATTATTTATTTGTTTGTTTGTTTGTGTTTTGTTGTTTATTTTGTTTATTTTATTTTGTTTGTTTGTTTGTTTGTCTTTGTGTTTTGTTTTATTGTTTGTTTTGTTTATTTATCTTATTTTGTTTGTTTTGTGTTTTGTTTGTGATTTGTTTGTGTTTTGTTTATGTTTTGTTCTGTTTGTTTTGTTGTTTGTTTTGTTTTGTTTTGTTGTTTGTTTATTGTTTGTTTGTTGTTTGTTTGTTTGTCTTTGTGTTTTGTTTTATTGTTTGTTTGTGTTTTGTTTGTGTTTTGTTCTGTTTGGTTTTGTTTGTTTTATTGTTTGTTTGTTGTTTGTTTGTGGTTTGTTTGTTGTTTGTTTGTGGTTTGTTTGTTTGTTTGTTTGTTGTCTTCGTTCTTCCCCTGACTCTTCCCACCAGTAAATGTGCTGAACTGGAGGAGGAGCTGAAAACTGTCACCAACAACCTGAAGTCTCTGGAGGCCCAAGCTGAGAAGGTAGAGAACAGGTCCAGACTCAGTCTGAACATCTCCCACATCAAATAACCTTAAGTCCCAAACAGGAAGATTAAAAAAGCGTTTCCTTTCTGAGGGAGTTATCCTTTTAGAGGATGTTTGTGATGGTTTGTTTAACCTCCTGGTTTCCTGTTCTGATGGAGGACGCTGCCTTTCTGCCTCTCTGTACCAGGATCCTGCTTTTCTCTCTGACCTTTGACCCCTGGACCTCATAGCAGACGCTATCAGACACTACTGTTTGAATCTAAAGGAAAATGCTTTTAGATATTTGATCCAAACGGGCCAATGGGAGCAGGGCTGCTGTCCCATGTGACCTGAGAAAGGAGAGGATACTGTGTGGGATCCATTTAAATGGAAAATCCTTGTGGAAATCTCTGGAAAATCACTGAAATTTTTTTTTACTGCTTTTTTACTGTTTCAAATCTATAGGAAAATTCTTTTAGACATTTTCCACCAATCGTGTTCTTATTGTGTAGTTAAAATGTCTTAAATAAGTCATTTGGACCCTCAGAACCAAATGAATTAAATCTGTAAACAGACATTTTAATTCTAAAGATAAACCCACTGAGCCTCTATGAAGAAAAACTACCTGAACCAGGACAAAGTCTAGTTCTTAAACCTATCAGCTCCTCCTGATCAGAGATCTGGAACAGAGCAAAACCAGATAAAAACTGGACTCTGAGGAGGTTATATTATTATATTTAACTAGCAAACCTTTCCTGATTGATCCAAACTGGGAGTTCTGCAGCTTCTTAATAAAACCGTGTTGTTTTGATCCACTTGTTAGTAAAAGTGTGTTAATGATTGATCCAGTATGTAAAACATCGGCTGAAAGATTTGATGGAAAGCTTCTGTTAACGGCAGCTTTAATGTGTTTCTCCACCACAGTACTCCCAAAAGGAGGACAAATATGAGGAAGAGATCAAGATCCTGACGGACAAACTGAAAGAGGTAAGCAGAGAAAGAAAGGAGGGATGATAGATAGATAGATAGATAGATAGATAGATAGATAGATAGATAGATAGATAGATAGATAGATAGATAGATAGATAGATAGATAGATAGATAGATAGATAGATAGATAGATAGATAGATAGATATCTATCTATGATCTAGATAGATAGATAATTTATAGGATATAAACAGATACTTTATCAATGTTTAACCATCATTTAGAAACAGAACATATGATATATATAAATAATTTATAGATGCTAAACAGATGTTCTTTTAACCATTTACAAATAGTATATTTGCCATAGATAGAGTCAACACAATGAGGTAAAAAGTGAAATAAATTCTAGATGTGTTTACAATATAAATGCAATATAAAAATGTGTAAATAA